GTTTCCCTCAGTTTTAGTTTGTAACCCGAATTTGTTTTTCTCCATAGATTTATGAATTTCGAACAGCGGTATACTACTGATGCCTTTATTTCTCTTAAAAGAGAGGCGGAAAATACCAAAAGGGATATTCAAACTCATAAGTCGAAGACAAACATAACGACAAGACAAACAAGAGTCTACAAAACACAACATGAAAAAACTAAAGATTGAGCAACACGATCCCAATACAAAATCAGGGGTTATCTTATGTGCTCTGGAAGGGTAAGCAGATCCTGCTCCCCACATGTGGTACCCATCGCCAAAGTATAGTTTAACAGACACACATGGACCAAATAGTTTCAACTCTTTCAGCATATTACGATTTTTTTAATCATATGTATTTGCTGTGCAAATGGATGCTTTTCATTTGAAAATTTAAATTTTTCTACTTTTTATAAAACTCATCAAAGATACTATTATAAATTAATAATATTATTATAATATGCATGTACTTGTATATACATTTAGTTGCTTTCGTTGACTTGAATATGTTGAACAGTCGACAATGACCAGATTATAGTTGCAAAACAAAATAATGTGTGCATGAAAATTTATGTAGAGGTATGTTTTACGTTGCTGTCGGCTTTGATTTTCATTTTTTTTGGTTTGTTTGGATTTTTTTTTTTTTTTGTCTCTTTGAAGACTTGTCTGTTCTATGGTCGGGTTGTTGTCTCTTTGACACATTCCCCATTTCCATTCTCAATTTTATTTTCGTACATTTAAGGATGAAGAACCACTATGAAATTAACACTCATAGGGTTATCTTTTCTTACATTATGTAAATGTTGTCGTATCCCTCAAATTTATATATTTGTTTTCGAAACATTTGCGTCAATCTCATTTAGTTGTTTCCTATATGTTGGATCGAAATGTCTTTCGTCGATACCGTATAGTTGTTTCTAACATGTTGAATTGATTTTTTGTTTGTTTCAACCCCGTATAAAAATAAGGAGATGTGGTATGATTGTCAATGATCAAACTATACACAACAGTCCAAAAGACGTGGATTTTACTGTACGTCAATTGAAACGAGAAAACCAACGGCCAAATTTATGACATAAACGTTAACAAAAAACAAATATAGCAGAGAGCAGCAACCAGCGACAACCTCGAAATTACAGGGTCCTGACTTGGGACATGCACATATGGTTGTTTTCAAAATGTTGGATTGAATGTTCATGCGTCAGCCCTTACATTGTTCCATTAGTCTTGCGTAGTTGTTCCTCAATGTTGGATAACATTTGCGTAAAGTACTTTATAACTTACGAACTCTTTCCAACTTTTGAGACACGAAGGTTAAGATAACTGTCTGGCACACAAAGTCCGTGACATTTGGTTCATTTAGGTCCTATAGATAATATTCTACAACTTACATGTACAATCAGCCTGTAGTGATTTAGATTTCATAAAGTAGTACAATATAGATAATACTACTTCAATAGTGTCCTCGATAACTTATTAATTCTTTGTGGTGGTTGAAATCGGGCATATGAGAGAAGACACATTTCTGAACTGTTAGATAACGGACAGTTGTTACCTTTGAAAAGCTCTCGAACTACATTTTGTATCTTAAGGGTTATCAATTGGATATCAAAATAAACATTAAAGGAAAAAAATGAAGTGAAATATCTTCAAATTAAGTGTATATGATACCAAGTAGGTCAAAATGTCAAACAGGTGATCAATGAACAATTGCAAATTAGGTAAAAAAAAAATCTTTAACAATTTTAATGTTACAACTAAAGTACTTCGTAGGTCTGATCGGTGCATTTTACTTGATGTCGAAAAACTCTTTAGAATTTGCGAGGTTACAAATGGCAAGAACACACGACTTAAAATTATAAAATTTACTTATGTCTATTTATGTCTTCTGCAAATTAAATTTTAATGTAATGAAATGTCATTGTATTCTTTTGTAAACTTCAAGCGATATCAATGCAAGTGACTTTTTGCAGGAAGCGCAGACATACCGGTACCAAGACAATTCCCTGCCACAGTTAAATCCATACCGATGTGTTGTTCGTTTGATAGAATGGGACGAATAAATAGGAAATTAAGCTCGAAATGTTGATGCTTAAATAATATGTCCCGTGTTTGTAGACATTTCCGGCACGTTAAAGAACCATTCCACCAACTTTTTTAAGGGCTCCGTAGATGACCTTTTGTATAACATACATGTACACTGTTAATTTAAGGCATATCACATTGCTCGCCTCAACTCACTTTGCAGAAACTAATTATATGATTCATTGTTAAATAATATGCCTGAAATATATGCCACTGGACGTTAGTGGAGCAAGATTCCGTACCACAACAGTGGAAAAGAGGAGAAGACACTAAAGTGCCGATAATAAACAATGAATTTAAGAAATACACACAACAGCATGGCCAAAAAGAAAGAAAAAAAAACACACCACACACACATACAGTAGCTACCAAATATAAAAGCGCAAGATTTTTGAGGAAATGAAGTTCTATATACTGCAGGAACACGGATATATGTAGCTTGCCAAAAAGGAGTATTATTACCAAAGCATAGTTCCAGTGAAACATTTAACAGAGGGTGATGTATAAGAAACGAAAGATTTGACATTAGTTTAGATAGGAAAAAGGTCATTGTGATAATGTTTTAGGATCTTTAAAAGTTTAACCCTTGCAGTTTGATTAAATAGTAATTTGAGAGTGACTGGTTATTAGAGATTTACAATAAGTGTCTGACTCCGACCCGAGTCCGACTACGAGTCATAGTAAGACAGTTTAAATGACGGGGTCGATCTCAAACAATAAAAATATTGTAAACATTGTGCTTTAATTATTATAATGCTAATTGAAAAGTTGTTTTTCGGCGATTTACAATACTCCCACATACTTCAATAATGGCTTTTAGTTTGTGACGAGGATGCCTCCAAAGAGTTCCCATGACTTTATAGCATTTCAACTCGCCAATAACATGTTCAACGGAAACTCGGTATGCTTTTATAAGTCTGTTTAACTTTCTACAATTTCTCTTAAAATGTTCCGACTATCTGGTTATCTGCTGTCTGGTGTAAAGCATCACAACAGGATAGCGGTTTAGATATATTTTATTACCAAGTATATACTTATTTAATGGGAAATGAAGGTTTTCGTCTGTCCCGATTTGGCGCATAAATCTAAACTGTCGGGCATCGTTCTGATGTCCCAGAAAACCTGACTCCAATCAAACTATGTTACATTGATTGTTGATAACAACATGTGGGTGAATACAGCGAAAGTGAATGTGGCCAGAAAAATAGTGTTTTTGTGGATCTGAGGAAGATATATTTCTGTTGATATTCCGTCGATTGCATCTATTGCGGATGGTAATTTATGCCAGGCACCGACGTCGATTATCGTTCATGTCCTGTAAATACACAAAATACATAAATATATGTAGATGCATATCAATGTATCTCCGTCCGCCTTTCTTCCGTACTTGAATTATAAAATAGCCCTACTGTGTATAGTTTTATGCGGGTAGCTGTCATTCTTCCCAAAAAAAAAAACTGGGGGTGATCTCAGGTGCTCCGGAAGGGTAAGCAGATCCTGCTCCACATGTGGCACCCGTCGTGTTGCTTATGTTATTACAAATCCAGTAAATAGTCTAATTCGGTAGGTCACATTCGTGAAAAGGGAAGGGTATTGTAATTACGACATAAGGAACATATCCGATACCATCTGTGAAACGGTTATTCCATAACGGTCAACCAACTCATGATGGCGTCCGTAAAATTTACGAAGGGATGATTTCAACTTCACCATTTGATTCTCTTGGTTCAATAGCTTCCTTGTGAGCAGCTAATGTCTGCAGATATTTTCATACTCATCGGTACTATGAAGTTTTGCCATTAAATGAGATTCGTAATATGAAAAAAAAAAAACAAAAACAAATGTGTTACATTAGGGGTTAGTTTTTTTTCTACCTTATTACTTTTCGGGTTGCTTTCGGCTATAAAATACACATAGACTTCTATTTTGTTTCGTAAAACATCTTTATCAAATACTAAAAGTCATTTGAATTAAATATAATACATTGAGATGTCTGTTATGTTCTGGACAACTATTGGATAACGACCGAACAAACAGGCTTATTTAATACTCCAAAGAACTGTCTGATACACTTGTATTTACACAATTATGAGCAAGTATATATTGTGTTAAAGGTTACATATTCAGTTTGATTCCAAAAGCTTATAGTGAATTGCTGTCTTCTGGTATATCAATAGCTGTCTGTAAAAAGTAATGTAACAGGACATTTACTAGATGCGGATATAAAAATTTCAAAAATTGTCCATTTTTGTGTAACTAAAGATTCAATGGATTTGTAGAACCTTGTGCTGTGCAGTGCAGTTGCAGTTTTTGTTCTTTTAGATCCTACTACACTTTGCTTAATTGTTATTACTTTGATTTCGTGCTTTTGTCAAACAGCGATCGTATTCAAACCACTGACTGTTCTGTCTGCTGACCCCAATAAAAAGTACATATCAATACGCAGGAATATTTTTTCGCAAATGAGTTTCATCGTTGCAGATTTACAGGTATTTGAACGAGGGTATTTTGGTCCTTTCAATTTCAATATGTCAATGTTTGTTGATGTTTACAAACAACTTAAATATACATGTTGAGTCGTCTTACCGCGACCTACATTTGTATACGTTTTTACATCTTCGTCGCGTTGCCTCTGGTGGATATACGTGTCATTCGCAACATATCTCCTTTTTTCTTTGGTTGCCTACAAATATTGTATAGTTTCTATTTAAAGTTTTTTTATTACCTTTTTTTTAGACTCGGCATGATTTCGAGCTTGACATACTGCAGAGACACTGGTTTATTGTTGTGTATTGTTAGTAGCCCTCTTGAGTTTTTTTTGTGTTGTTGGGTTGCTGTCTTATGACGTTTACCCTACTTATCTTTGAATTCATCAGTTATAAGAATCTGGGGCCGTGTCAACGAAGCGGTCTTAGGACTAGGACGTGTCTTAGGATGGTCTTAGGACACGTCTTAGTCCTAAGTCAGGTTAACGAAAGTCTCCTAAGTTAAGATATGTCCTAAATTTGGTCCTAAAGTTAGGATATATGAATAGGTGTCTTAGGATGGTCTTAGGATAGTCCTAAGAGTTATGATGTCCTAAGTTGAAATAAAAACAACAAATATGGCCGCTGTGTATGTTCATGTAAGACGGCGAGCGAATAATATTCGCCGAAACAGAGTGTTTAGGGACAGAGACAATCCATTAGACTATTTGGACGATGCTGATATTGTACGTAAATATAGACTTTCAAGACCAATGATTCTAGAACTTTGTGGAATGTTCCAAAATGAGCTCGCAAGGCCGACTAAAAGGTCCCATGCATTTCCTGTCTCATTACAAATAATGGTAGCCCTAAGATTTTATGCGACTGGGAGCTTTCAACTGGTTAATGCTGATGTCCATCGTATTTCTAGAGCTAGTGTTTCTACTATTACACGTGACGTCACACAATGTTTGAAAAATGTATGCAATCAATACATTTCGATGCCCACAGATCAAGCATCTCTTCAAGCTTTAAAGCAAGGTTTTTATGACATTTCAAATTTTCCAAATGTTATTGGTGCTGTTGATGGTACTCATGTGCGTATCAAAAGCCCAGCTGTTGATGAACACTTGTACGTAAACAGAAAAAATTACCACTCGCTTAATGTAATGGGAGTTTGTGACTCAAACTTGAAGTTTTTAAACATTGTGGCAAAGTGGCCTGGTAGTACACATGACTCATTTGCATTGCGCAATTCAAGGCTTTGTGAAATGTTTGAAGACGGAGACATAAGCGATGGATGGCTTCTTGGGGACAGTGGATATCCACTTCGACCTTGGCTCCTAACACCAGTCATAAACCCAACAACAAGACAAGACCAACGTTACAACAGTTGCCATATGAGAACAAGATGTGCTGTTGAGAGGAGTTTTGGAGTGTTGAAATCTCGTTTCCGATGTATCGACAACACTGCAGGAACATTGTTGTACAGCCCAGTTAGATGTTGTGACATTATAGTAGCTGTTGTTGTTCTACACAACATGTGTATTGACAATAGAATTCCTTTGCCTCCAGGAAACGATAATCCAAGAGATCATGGAAACATTGGTGGACAGCAATATGTTGGTATCCAAAATGATGGTGCAGTTATTCGTACTAGATTGATTAATAACAGATTCAACAATTAATAAAAAAAATATTCTTATCCTTCTTTTTTAATCACTAATGGGTTGTTCATTGCATGTATTCTTGTATTCTGATACCTGGATGACTATCTCACAGACATATAACCAATAAAATTTCATTTGGTGGTACAAAGGAATTTAACAATTTTTAGGTTTAAAAGAAAGGAAAAGGATTCTTAAGGGACACTCAAACTCACAAGTCGAATATAAAACTGACAAAGACATGGCAAAAAAGAAAAAGAAAATGTCCAAGACAAATAAGAGTATACAAAACAAACCAGTATAGCGATTATCATTGTAAACTTATAGTTTTCAACGGAAATTATCATTGTATACTTATAGCTTGTAGTTGTCAAAGGAAATATGGTAAATTATTTACTAAAATGATAACTATATGATTATTCAAAATTGAACTATGACAAAACGTGTATTTAATCAATATGATAGAAATAGCAATGTATCACTCGTGATCACTGGCTCGATCTGAGTTTTCTGGAATATGCAAACTGATACCAAGTTGGGTCAAACGCAACTGTTCTTTGGCCTGTTCCAGCTGAAGGCGTTGGCGGTCAACATATAGCTTATCTTTTTCTACGCGAAGTCTTTCCTTTTCAACGGTAAGTCTCTCCTTCAGCAGCCTCATCTTTTCTTCTTTCAATTTCAGTGTATCCTTTTCTACCTGCAGTCTTTCCTTTTCAATATTCAACCTTCCTCTCTCAATTTGAATCAGCTGCTGAGAATCACAATCGTCCATGGTCGAAGCAGTGGTGGTAATATTTCTGGTTGGCGTAGTTCTATTACTAGCACCGCTGATTGATGGTTCTGAAATAGAATGTTAAACATTAAGCTAATTCATAAAGACAATTTTTTGAATCGACAAAATGCATGAAAAGAATAACGTTGATTGACATATTTTGGCGATTACTGTGTGTGTGTGTGTGTGTGACGTTGTGGTCTATATACACCCACATCTCTTAGTTTTCAGTGTATTATCAAATAGTTGAATCAAAAACAGATGGTTATTAAATATATTTCAAATCTTAAAAAGGACAATCATTCAAAACGGGAAGAATAAATGTATTTCAAGCCAAAATTCGATTAATTGATGATCACATCCAGTGGCAAACATTACAAGCCCATCACGACCGGAGAAAGTTCAAAAACAGGCATGTCGAACCAATCATGTCGTCACCTCCTCCCCCTTTTTTTCGCTCTGTTTTACACAAGAACTATAAGAAAATAAACAAATTACCTGATTCATCTGCTGAAGAGTAGGAGCTCCTTCTTGAAGATGAACATGACGGCATCGACAAATCTGTCGACGTTTCTTTAAAAGGGGCTGTATCTATTCCTCCGTCTATTCCATCTATAGGCGTGTCTCCAATAATTCCTACTACCTGATCTTCCATGGAGGAAATGTCTTCTGGGGGAGGACCTCCGCCTGTCTTTCTTGCCTCTCGTCTATTGTGTGCCACTTTCTTTTTGGCGTTGCTCATATATCTTGTCCATTTCTTTCGAATTTCTTCAACTGTTCTTTGGTGGTGGGTATTTGAAGAATTCATCTTTGTACAAATACCATCCCATGTCTTCTTCTTAATGTTATTTGTCGCAACATTTGACAGCTTGCTGAATAGTATTCCTTTATGTTTTTCAACTTCGGCCAGCATAATTTGAATTTCGATTTCGGAAAAATTTGGAGATCTTTTCTTGCTCATGTTGATTCAGTATACGAATTGAAATCGAGTGGACCTAAGTACAAAACTAGTTTATATAGTTAAATTGCAGCACGACAATAGCCTCTAAAAAGTTTTGAGACAATTAATTTAATCGTTTAAAGAATTTTATTCTTTCATTTTAACAGTTTATATTATGTTTTTATTATTATATGTTAAAACCTTTATTTTGTGTTTTTTTTTTCATTACAGATGAGACCCCTCCCCCCTAAAAAAACACCAACAAAAAACCTTTGAATATATATAGAAATGCATAAAAATATTTCATTTCATTCACTTCATATTTTATTAATTAAATAGATATGTTAGGATGGTCTTAGGACCATCGTAGTTAGGACTGTCCTAAGATAGCGTTGTTTTACATCCTAAGACATGTCTCAGACACGTCCTAAGACCATCCTAAACAATGTCCTAAGACATATCTTAGGACATGTCTTAGGATACTTTCATTGACACGGCCCCTGCTTAAGGATGTTTGCTCCTCTTGTTCTTGACTTTTGTCAGATGTTCGGAATCCTTTGGTTTTATCCATGCAGTACCAATAAATATTTTGCCCGCTAATCTCTACTTTTCTTTTTGAAATTTGATTACATATAGTTTAAAGAGCCATATTTGAAAATCTTATAAAATCCTTGTTATTTTTTCATAGTTTTTGAAAGAAAAACGTTGATAATGTTAAATATATGAAAAATCTAGAGAGAATCATTTCCCGCCAATTTTCCAAAGTCTTATAACCCGAAAGAAAGGTCACGGACCCTTCATTTTTTTCTGCTTTTTTTGTTCCATTATTTATATACTGTCAATTTATAACAACCTTTTAACGCGTTTAAGGATGTTCGTTACCCTGTTTCAAAATAATAAGCTTTAAAAAAAAACGTTATAAACTGATAGCATATAAATAACTGAACTAAAAAAAAATAAAAAAATTAAAGGTGTGTGATCTTGTTTTCAAGATATAAGCCATTGAAAAATTGGCGAGAAATGTTTCTCTCTAGATTTTTCATGCATTTTACATTGGCACCTTTTTTACTTTCAATAACAATAAAAAATAACAAGGATTTTCTATGATTTCAAATATGGATTTTTAAACTATATGTAATAAAATTATGAAAAGAATAGTAGGGGTTAGCGGCAAAAAAAATTGATGACACTATATGGATAAAACCAGAGGATTCCGAATATATGACAAAAATTTAAAAAAAAAAGAAGAGGAGCGAGCATCCTTAAACATTGAAATATGATAGTTTTTAGGGGAAACTCGTTATTTTTTGGAAAATCAAAAACATAAAATTACCCAAAACACAAGATTCCACATATATCCCAGAATAAATGATTAAAATTCGTAATATTAATTTAAAAAAATACTTTATTTTAAATGTTTTAAAACATGGATATCAAAATGTCTTTGTGTGTACGACTTGCATTTTTTTTCGGAGGTTTTGTATGTTTGTGGTTGGTGTGGTCTGATACTATCCATGTTCTCATTTCCCCTGAATGCGGATAAATCAATTAAAGAAATAATATCAAAATTGTCTCTGTCCTGCCTTTTTATTTTTCACTCTATTCGGTCCTACTTTTTTTTTTACATAAATTGTCACCCTGCCTTTTTTTTTACTCAAAACTCCTGTCCTGCCTATTTTTTTTTTTAAATTTCATCCAAGCCTCCCCCCCCCCCCCCCCCCCCCCCCTCCCCCCATAACAATCAAATGGTAGCTCACTAAAGACACAATTAACAGCAATAATATTCAAATCGAATGCCTAACAAATACAAAACACAATATTCAATATTCAAAAATACCGTTACATTGTACTAATGTAACCCAAAAATACAAACAAACTAACAATCAATTCGAAAAAAAAGCCAGTATTTTAAACTGTCTCGATATATTCAACAAGCGAAATGGACAAATGAAACTAAATATTATTTTTATATTCATATGCATATTAATGGCTCTACAATCTGTCGATACTGTACCTTGGCATTGCACAAGGTCATGCATTTCTCTGACTGGTAATGACGTCTTTACACTAAATCCATTGGATGTTGGATGTGTACTGATTAATATTTTAGTCTTAGATGCATGATTTTTTTATTAGTTGTTATTGGCTGCGAACTAGCTGTCAGTAACTACGAGTACTCTTAGATCTGTACTTAGTGTCTTTTATGTTGTGGAGATGTATAAATACCCCGTCACGTCCGGTCTGTGTTTTTGTTAGATGTTTTTCTGCTTTGTATGGATCTGATGAGTTGAGCCCTTTTAAACTGATTTTAATAGTTTGTTCGTATGTCGTACTGTTACCCCCGCCACATTCTGTATGTGCCTGCCCCAAGTCAGTAGCCTGTAATTCGGTGGTTGTCGTTTGTTTTTGTATATCATATTGTTTTTCGTTCATTGTTTTGTACATAAATTAGGCCATTAGTTTTCTCGTTTAAATTGTTTTACATTTGTCATTTCGGGACCTTTTATTGCTTACTATGCGGTATGGGTTTTGCTCATTGTAGAAGGTCCTACGGTGACCTATAGTTGTTAACTTCTATGTCATTTGGTCTTTGGTGTTGAGTTGTCTCATTGGCAATCATACCACATTTTCTTATTTTTTGTATAAACATTAAGGAGTTTTGAATGTGAACCTTACTAGGAGTAAACCTGATGAAGTCCTAAGTGTGATTGTGACATGGAACAACACTTCATAATATTTATACTGAGTATACATGTACCGTTGCAAGTTCTTTATCGGATTAAAGTCTACAAAGTATAGGATTGCTTTTATAGCAGCTCGTTTGAGTGAGAATGAGTGTGTTTTTGCGTTCTTTATTTTTGAAATAGACATGTGTTCTCCTTGATGTCGTTATTAAAAACTGATACACAATACCAATAGATTTGTCATCCAGTAAGGAACGATAAACAATGTGCCGAAATGTCTGTTATAAATCGTACCCATTTCATTAGTTGATTGATTGATTTACTTTTGTGTTTTCTTTAACGACAATTTCAAAACTATTGGCTATGTCGTGGTAGCCTTTTTGTTTTTGTTAAGGAAGCCAGAGAGAACCACCGACCTTCGGCGGGAAAACTGGCAATCCTTATCAGTTAAGATTGGAGTTGAACATAGCTGCAACGTGTGAGGTTTGAACTCACAACCGCAGTGTTGACATGCTAGTGATACAGTAGATGAACAACTTAGTCCACTCTGCCATTGAGCCCCCCCACCCCCCACCCCCCCCCCCCCCCCCCACCCCCCTCGCCCAACAGATCATTAGATGTGAATATTAAGTGTAATCTCGAAATAGTGGCAAAATGTGTTGTAAACTCGTTTCTTCTACATTAGACAAGCATAGTAACGTCGTCGGTATTTCTTACAGATGTGTACATGTATGAATGAATGAAAGAAGACAACGAAACAAACAAACATGCCACCTTTAGGTCAACAAACGGTCTTCAGCAATAAATTATACCAGTGTTTATGCAATATGTAAAAAAAAGATGCGAAAAATACCAAGGGGATATTCAAGCACAAAAGTTGAAATCAAACTCACAGCGTCATGACTAAACATGAAAAACGAGCAAAAGACAAATAACAGCATTCAAAACACAACATAGAAAACTAAAAAATGAGCAACAAGAAACCCCATCAAACGCCAGGATTCACTTTTTTATGTAAATATACCTGTACTGCATATAAATTTACTTGTACTGCACATAATGTAAGACAGAAATTAACTAAATAAGTTATAATTAGAATGGGTTTAATGTACAAAATGTTCATTCAATATACAGATCGACAAGACAACATGGTTAACAATGTCTAATAGCACACACGGAAACCAGAACGTTCCACTGATACTATCACTATTTAAAAAAGTGTTTTTGTTAATGTTTACACAATACATCTTCCTCTGTAGTAATATACATCATCTAGAGCAATATCTCCTAAATCGGATGGTCCCATAGCTGCCTCTAATACAACCTGAAAGATAGACAAATACTATATCAGTTTGTGAAAGGGGATTTTTTATAAAATGAAAAATAGAAATAACTTATAGAATTGTGTTGATGAATGTGTCTTCCTTTCAAAAAGCATCGAAATGCAATGTTCAACTTTTAAATCAATGTTATGGCAAATAAATAAATAAAGCTCCTTTGTGGAATATGGAAAATTGTGTGTAACTTTTAATTTTGTAGGGTCTTAGATTTAATCAGTGGGGAATATATGATATAATACTTCAGGGAAATAATCGTGTACGAGTAAACGGAACGTTTTGATATCATTATTGAATTCATACATCTTTTTAACATTGTCCCAACTGTTGTTTTCCGCAAATTAAAACAATGAGATTTAAAACAATAAGAAAGCTTTGTGTTTATTCAAAGATAAAGTATTGCTATCACTTGTATAGTTGAAATTCATATCTGTTTGTGCTAAATATTCCAATTTGTAAAATTCTATACGTCAGTTACTTCTTGTTCATGTAATGGCTTGAAAGTGAAAGGTTCTAAAAAGACATAAGAATGTCCTATGCAAAGCTGGCTCACCTGGAAATTTTGTCCTACTGTAAATTCATCATTAAATACATTCCATTGGTTGGCTTGTTCACCCTCAAGGGCTTTAAATTCTTTTGTAACAGTTCCAACTCTAATATTTACGGTGGCTCTATTCACGTCTTTTCCAGACATGTAATAATAAAATCTAAGACAATATGTTCCTGCTGCTAATTGAGGGCTAACCAATCTTGCCTTTTGGTTGTGGTGACCATGTGCTTCTGCTAAAGCATAATAACCTGAAAAATAAACGTAGTTTGTAATCTCAAAACTAAAACAAAATATTTCATTATCTCAAATCTAAGAAATTATTTCAATGAGAAAGCCACCAAACGACAATCCTCTTAAAACAAACCAAAATCGACCAACAAACAAACAAACGGATCTTGTTCGAATTGGTTAACAAGTTTCATGCCAGAGACTTTTATAACTGACTATACGCTATGGGTAATTCTCATTGTTGAAGGTCGTATGTTGAACTAGTAATGCTTAAGTTTTGAATAAATATAACACATGGTCAAAGACGATAAGACAGTAGAAAGCACTGATAATATTTTACTTAACAATCAAAACTAATCATTAAAGCAACCTTACAGAATTTTAGTAACAAAGAAAATCTTGTCTAAATTTGTATTAAATAGAAGTATGTATTATCAAATACATTTGAAAAACTGTTTTTGTGAAAGGAAATTACCTATTCCGTTGCTGTAATCGTATGCTGGTCCTGTTCCATTTGATTTTGTTGGTCCATTGTTTCGTACAAAGTCAAAGTCATTCAAAGAATCTTGAGTCCATTTGCATAAATCGTTTTCAAAAGAACATTTGACAGCACCTACAAAGAAATAAAGAAGAAAAATGTTTTTTTTTTCTGTCGCGTATATTTCATTTTATTTTAATAAAGTCTTAAGAGCTATTCCATCTTCCGAGAAACAGATTCAAGTAGTTTTTTTCAATCAATTGTATATATAACGACTTACAATGTATCTGTCTCCCATTGATTATTTAAAATCAATTTTCTATATTTAATGTATTGACCACATGTTGAAATTATACTGTTTGTTAGGTTTACGATAATGCTACTACCAATTTGATAACTTATGTGACGAATATCCCTTACAAAAGTATTAAGACAATTTAATATAAAAAAACTATATAAAAATTATAAAAAAAAACAAACCTGACAAGAGATTCTGTTTGTGGATCACATCACCAACTGAAATTAAAAACAATGCATGAATTACATAATGTAAAAGGCAAAAAACAGTTATGCACAATACAAAAAGGTCACTATGCACTTACTAAAATATAGCACAATGGCTATAATTTCAATAACGACATGCACCCCACCTCCCCCCCCCCCCCTCCAAAAAAAAAAAAAAAAAAAAAAAAAAAAATTTAAAGAAGCTTTTTAAAAAAAGCCCCCCCCAAAAAAAATAATGAAGCGTTTAAAAAAAAGAATAAATAAAAAAAAAATCCCATTATACATTTTTTTTTTCAAGAACAAAAAACCTGCAATAGCTAAAGTATGAGTAATTTCATAGTATAGATATAGTTAGAGTAATTCAAAGAAATTCTTATGTTATTCCAAAAAAATCCAATAAATTCAGTCTTAATCTTTTAAATATTTTTAACATGAATTGCCTGTTTTAAATTGTCTACAGTACAACAAAGACCTTTTATCAAGTTCAGGAAATAACATAAGTGATATTGATAACCACGTGACACAACTAAATAAATAAATACCTCTTCCGCATCCATATCCGGCTCTGACATTTTCAATATCGAAATCACTGAGGGAAACAGACCATGGGAAAACTTCTCCTTCGTATTTGGCTTGCATGGTTGGCTTTGATGGGTCCTTAGCGTAGGCAAATGGGTAGAAAAATGTTACTGAGTTGTAATCGAATGGTGATTTGAAGAAGGTTGTATCGTTGACTTTGGCAAAGAATGTCTGGAAAGCTAGAATTAAAAAAAGGATAAATGACAAATCAAAATGAATTTGCATGATGTTATAATTGTCAACTGTAAATTCGTTTATGTTAATTCAGCAAAGAACGATATGTCAAAAAAAAAATGAATATAAAACCGATAAGACAATGGACAGCCTCGTTGTACGCAAACCTTCATTTCTTTAATTCTCATAATACCATCTGTGTAAGGCTTACCAGTTGGAATGTTGTCATAGTTGACCTGTACGAAGTTATCTCTGTCTGGGCGTCTGAATGCATTGTAAGATCCCATTGTGTACATCAAGAGTTGCATGATATCCGCTTTTGCCATGCTGTCTGTTACCTTGACAACCTGTCTACCGCCGATACGTCCAGGCTTTGCCACTCGTCCGAAGCTGTCTCTGAAATTGAAAAGATACTTTTAAGCACCCGTTCACCAATAAACTCTTAAGATTAAAAAAAAACCCAAAACAGTATCGAACAAAATAGTTTTATGCATCAATTATGGTATTATACATGTATTTGTATTAAACATGACTTCTAGTTTGAACATCACAAGCAAAATGTATCAAACAGTTATTAAAATAAATCAACCATCATAAGAAAAAGATATTGCGGAGCGTTCCGTGTTCAATGAAAGACTTTACTTTAATGGACAATACCTAACCTGGAAAGGATTAATCTTAGGATTAAACATTTCCCAAAACCGACCTTGTTTTGACAATGCGTAAATGATGATCAATTACAGTCCAGTTTGCAAGAGGTTGTGGGTGCCAGGTATATTCTTCTATACCAAAAGAAGTGTTATTTATATAAAATAGGAAATGTTGCATGATTGTCAATAAAAAAACTACCCACCAGTACGAATGGCGTGAATGTCAACAACTATAGGTCGCCATACGTCCTTCAATAATTTAAGACAGGTTTCCAGTGAATATTCCCTTTGTTACCTTTGTTTCATATATGTTATATACTTTTTTCTCGTATTCTGGTGTGGTTGCTTTTCCCTATTTATTAGTTGATCTTTATAATTTAAATCATCGTCCTGAACATGCATGAAATAGTTGCCTCTGGACGCAAAGCAACAATCAATCAATCATTTATGTCAAGTAATTATATATACTTACTGGGACTCTGTTGAAAATTCGACGTAGTCAACTTCATTTTTACGTGGGATATATGTGATGCAATCCCGTCCGCCGCTGTATGTGTCGAACTGGATTTCTTGGATGGAAGCCAAAACTCGTTCCCTTGTGAAGCCATCTGAAAAAATCACAGATGAAATGTCAATAAATATAATTTTCCGATGGATATACGACAAAAAAAGTACCATAGTGTCACAACACAAAATCCCTACATGGACTTGAAAAAAACAAAAAAACACAAAGAAACAAAGCCTTTATTGCTGTTCTTAATCTTTAAGTCACGACGAGGTCTGAAAAAATACAATAAACAGTAACACCTCACTTAAGTCCAAGACGGCCCTAATCACATGTTTGCGCAGAATCCTTGGCTACATGTAGAATTCGATAATGCTACAACTGTGTATTGAGGAACACATCTGCGAGATAATTTCAACCATCTTGTATTTGGTAAACAGGAAGCGGTTTGGCAATGAATATGCATCGCACAGTATAGCATAACTACACGAAGCCTGATACCAAATTTCAGTATGCTATAATTTGAATTTCCTGATAAAAAATAACAACAGTCTATACATTTGTAAATGCCTATTATGTGTAGGAATATATAAATATTTGGTAAACAAGAAATGGATAAGTCATGAATCTGAAAATCTCGCATTACAGCATGCTTACATTAAGATGAGTACCAAATTTCATGAAGCTCTGATTGATAGTTCCTAAGGTGAAGAATTTTTGGGACGGTCGGACGGACATTTGCTCCAACTACACATTCAAAACATATCATGCACAATTGGCTATTAAAACGCCCCATGCATAATAATGTCTGCGCCGACCTGAAATTCCATTGTCTGCTTGAAGATACAATTTCCCTCGGTAACTAACTCGGATGTTTACAATCAGCGGGAATTAAACATTGTATGAAATTTGAAAGACCTGTTATTAAGTGTTCTAACATAAGGCACCTAAAGTTACTCAATAATAAAATCATACTTACTGACGGAGTTTGTGAAAGTGATTGGAATTCTTCCGAATGGCCAGAGCTCTACACTGTCACCACTGCGCCCCTGAGTAGAAACAATTTTCGAATCAGTGTCATTGTATACATGACAATACAGTCAGTTGTCTTTATTAAGCGCATGACCGAAATGCACTGCATTAACTTTTATGCATTTCTTGGGATAAATAAACAAATAGATATTATACTTGATAGTACAGCATATCGATCTAAAAATCTTTTTGCAAAAGGTATGTATATATATCTATCTAGATATATATAGTGTCTAAAAATAGAAACAATCAACATTCAATCTATCTAGTCGTGGATCAGTTTGAAAATAAACTGATGCAGTTACTAAATGCATAAGAATGTAACTTTAACACACGAATGAGTGTTATAAAATTAGCTGTTATATTGTATATATTCACGCAATATTTCGCTAAACAAATTAGCTTCATATCCCTTTAGTAGTTAAACAATTTAAATGATGCGAATAAACTTCTTATGGCTTACTACAAGATAATTTAATTTGAAGATAATGTTAATAGTTGATGTTACAATAAAAAAAATTATTCTGCTTCATTTTGTTTTTTTTTATATCCTATCCCATTTAATGCACATCGATATAAGAAAAAATTCTTTTTAAATTTTTGAAATTAAAAAAGTCAGCATGCTTACCTGGGGTGCACAGAAGACACACTGTAGAACGACTGCAAGAGAAGCGGCAAGCCTGAGACTAATCATTTTGGCAAATGGCTCAGTTGTAATGTAATCTCATGGTTTTAAAGGTCTAATCACGTGGTTTTATTTCGGTTGAAATAAGATTTGACAATTTATCACATAAGAAGTCTTATCAAGGTCCGACCCATTTATCTCGTTAAAACTTTCTGGCACAGCCCACCTTGTTTACCTTTATTAGAAAAATTTTAGTACACTATTTGAGCTTCAAACTTATTTCTTCTAGCTTTGTTTTGCATCAAATTTTAAAAATGCAGTGCCTTTTAAAATGCCAACCGATTTTTATTAAAAAACTACATCACAACTCGAACCACTGGAAATTTTAACATCATTTCCATATAAAAATTGCACAAAAAAAAACGAGTGAGAAAATAATCTCCTTTTCATGTACTGTATCGACTGTTTACAATTATGTAGAAAAAAGTTGGGTTATACAGTTTTTGTGTTATGCTATGCTTTTATCGGAGATGCTTTTTATTCCAGAGCCAGGTTATCATTTTTTTTCCACCTTTGGAATTCAGTGATAAAAAATTGAAAGCGTCCTATTCAATTTTAAACGTTGCTCTCTCAAAGATTTATCCACCACAACTTTAATTTGTTTATTAGTTGATTGCCTGGTAAATACATCGTTACAATTTTGAACACATGCTCTTATTTACGTTGCTTAGTTTGAAACATTGCAAAATCTTATGAATAGTTTTGTAGGAAACTGTTGATATTGTCGATGTTTTCTGAAAAACCTTCTTATTCGGTAATGTATGTTTTGTATCTAAGAAGAATGTAAAATAGACCAATAGTTTTGTTTTGTTTTAAATGCTTTTCTGTATCAGCCCTTGCTCATTGATAGAAAAACCGACAAAAAAGAAAACAGAAACATAATAGAAATACAACAAAAACCAAAAAGCTAGTTTTATAGGAACTGCAAATATTATAGATGTTATCGAAGAGCCTATACCGCTTTTTCGGTAATCTATACTGTCTACTTAAGGAAAATGATAATTAGACCATAGTTCTGATTTATATTAAAACCTTCACTGTATAAGTCCTTGATCAATGATTGAAATTTGTAAACAAACAACAACTAAAAAAAAAAGAAGAAGCAGAAATAAAATTGAAAGAATACAAAAAACTAAAAATCTAGATTTTCAATCTAAGCATTTTGCTTAAAGTACCCATTCACTTTTTTATGTTGGCTGTGCGACATATTACCGCATTCACGCCATTTTTCATCAAATGATATGTAAGTTGTTAGTAACACAGACATTAAGTTAATAATTTAAGTTCTGGGGGATACACATTTCTTACACATACTCCGCAGCCCTAATTTTAACCTAGCGACACTGTTATGAGCTCGGGACAGGGGATACACATAGTATTATTATCAGCAAATGTTACATAATTGTAATGGTCATTTGGTAAATAACTGATTTAGAATAAACAAATGTTTGTGAAAATTGATCAATTTGTTATATCTGTGCCAATACGGAATTTTTAATTTGTTTATATCATATCGAACTAGTGACCTTATTTTCTTGTTCGGGTTAATAAAAACAAAGGAAAAATCCAGGCTAAGAGTTTACAGTAATAGCGGAATAGTCCCGAGGCAAACTCTTTCTTTTACAAAACTGGTGTCCAAAGCCTTAGAATCTTTAACATCATGCATTTTCTTTCCTTTCAAAAAGATTTCTACTGATTTATTAGAAAATTGCCTTATTTTACTGTGGCCGGCATTATACAGAAGCTGTAATTCAATGCTAAGATTTCTTAGTTTACATTTTGTTGTTGCAAAAGTTATTACATAAGTGACCGAGTTAAAATGTAAACAAGTATTGCATGCTATCTTTACCCGTTTAGGAGTGTAATACAATAAATAATGATAAATAAAATACAAATGTTAACTTGTCTGGTGAAATAAACAATGTTTGTTATCTCTGATTGTACTTCTACTATCAAACAAACAAAAAATAGAACGTGCATTTTTAAATTTAAAGGGATTTTCTTTGACTTAATTCCATAAGAGTACATTTTATACATTTTTTTTAATCCATGTTTCAGATACTTTAGGGGGTTTTGTTTGACTTTATTATACAAGAGTATCTTAAAACGTGTGTATTATGATTCCATGTTTTAACAAAGGAAAATTTAGTTTAAATCAACAATCTTCTATAGTAAGGATTTGTATCAGGGTACAAAGAATCGTATCGCCTGATACTGTTTCAAGAGCAATATGAGTCATACAATATAGTAAACAAGCATCAGTATACTATGGGTACTTTCGAACTCGGATAACACCGCACGCGAGTAGTACACAAACATGCTAACCGAGTTTAAAAGAGGGATTCTGCGCAGTTGGACTCTAAAGTGCATGTTTTGTTTCACGATAAATCTTAACAACATGCGTGTTTTTTAGTACAATAACCATTGTGACGTTTCTTGCGGTTTGTTGTTTTGTCCGAAGTTCATGATTTCATTTTAGTTTACCGAGTGCTGATAGTAAAACGAGTTCAAATCAGGATACTACGATAAATTGTGTTTGTAAACACGACATATTTGAATACAAGTATATACAATTCCAATGTTAGTCACAATAGTTCTGTTTCATATCCCAGTTTTGCGTTCCTACTATGTTTTGATTAAATAATTAATAACAAGTAGAAGCAACTATGTTAAAAAAGGGAGAAAATACACATGGGACAGACAAAAACCATGAGTAAACAAAAAATATACAATACCATTGCCAAAAGAAGAACGAGGAAAAGACGACAGTCCTCAGAACATTACAAACAAAACTAACGATAGAATAAGATGAACCCAACCAAACATCGGGGTTGAAGTCAAATGCTTCCAAAAGGGGGAACACAAACAAATCGAACTCAAATTCTGGTTGACACTCTGGCTAGTATAGTAACTTACGATTCAATTATAGTAAAATTGTACCTTTCAGAAGCTTACGTTCATGTAATAGAGACCTACTGAATATGAATTATTCACAATTATAAATGGTATATACGGTAATTAAAAGAACATTAATCTAAAGGAAAAAAAATATTTTCAGATCTTAAACAATTGACAGGCGTCTACAATGCATGTCAATTCCTCAATCGACCCGTGTTTTACGAAAAAGTAATGCAGAGGCTACAAGTATCAAACATGGGCAATTCACAAGCAATTTCCATATGACCCCCCTTTCCCCCCTTCCCCCCCCCCCTTTTTCCCCCGAAAAAAAATAATAAAAAAAATAAACCAATATCATTATATAAATAACATATATCTGAGAGGTGATAGAGCAGATTGTTAAGCCTAGGTTGACAATGTCTTTTCGAGGGGTAACAATCTGCTCTATAACCCTCTCAGATATGTGTTATTTAATTTATTATACTGAATGTTCTTTTATTACTGTCTATTAAATTTCAAATTCAAAGTCGTCTTGTACATAACAATCATCCGTATTTATTAAAGCACACACTTGAGCAAGCGTCTCCGTGAAGGGTAATAGAGTATTTGCCATGGGATAGAGTAAATTGTCTCCTGGTATTAACCAATCACAATCTGGCATTTTGACATGAAGTATAATAATAAAAACTAACCATTGTTTGTCTGGTACAACATTTAATTAGGACAGTCTTGACGACATTTACCATTTAAAATGGGCGGATCACTTTTCCTTTTTCTGTATCTATGCAAAAGTAGATCATAAGGGTATTATATATAACAATGTATTAATTATAGGCGTCATCGTAAAATTTGAAATATCATTTGATAATTAATGACTCGCGTATTTTAAATCTGTTGATGTCAGCGTCTACGGGAATTTTAAATTTATTGAGCACTCAAGCACAACAGAAAACTGCACCAACCATTAACAATCCCTTTATGCATAAAAAAAAAGCATACAGACATTTTATTTATCTAAAGAACAGTATATTGATATATTGTAGATGCATGTCTATTGTTGAAGACTCTAGGGGTATTTTTGTTAATAGTCTTATTGACATATAACCTACAGCTCCATTCTCTCATATAACATACAACATACATGCTATAAATTAATAAGCGTAGACACAACCTTGAATTACCCTTCTATCCAAACCTTAGATCTTGGCCATACGTCTTTGGTACACAATGCAATGTCTGAATGTAATGACAGCTACTAATAACTTGATATATAAAGGACAATAATCCAGAGCTTGACACATGTATAGATGATGATGATAAAAGGCTGCGTAACGTCTTGCGGCAAATTAATATGCATATTCAGGACGAGAACATGTTAATGTAAATTTATGAATATTAACCCTGCTTTGCTACTTCACAACGTAACAGTCCGCAGAAAGACATGTAATCTTACCCAGACACATAATCTGACTCCGAGCCGACCAGTCTTTGCTCTTACTCCTTAATGCCGAGTGCTTAGCGGAGAAGCAGCAAATACCAATTTTAAAGTCTTTGGTTTGACGACCAGGCCGGGATTCGAACCCACAAACTACCGCACTTGAGGCGAACACGCTACCAAGAGACCACCGAGCTGTCCACATGTATAGACATATGTCTGTTGTTGAAACTGTTTGTTGCTTTCTAAATGTTTTTTTGTTATTTTTGTCTTGGGGTTGCTGTCTAACTGACGCATATCCGACATCTCCTTTTATTCATATGCAATCATTCCCTTATATTTGATTTGAGAAGATGCGTTTCAGGGTTACTTAATTTTGAGTTAGGCATGTAAACAGGAGGGCAGAGGAAAATGAGAAATTCAGTTTGTCGCTCTATCTATCTGCGAATAGATTTAAACTGTTATTGGATTCAGTAGAGCGTTATATAAATACAATTTTTTTTACATTTCTTAACCCGTAACAGTCTGTTATTTGGTGATTTCAACCTAATATGGTTGCATCATTGGACTAATGAAGCATAATCGCCGTCTAGCATTGACTTTCGCTTAAACCGATGCCAAACGCCCTATTGCACTGGACCTTAAGCTTTTGGTGAAGGCCTCATTGTCACTTTGTATAAAACAGTACTAATAGATCTATGCATTTGCTTTACGTGTTATCACGTGTGAATATACAAAGGGATGCATAAATAGTAAAATACACATATATCACCATCTTTGTTTGGATTTTTCTTGGTGAAAGTTTTTTTTTTAATTCTTTTATTACAGTGTCGGGTGATGTATGCACTGCAGGAGATGCGAACCCTGTTGGTGTACCCGACTCGCCCAGTTCGGAGCTCATGCAATATATTTGTTTTTTTGTTTTTCCTAATTTTTATACTTTAATTGGATTTACGAGATGTGAATATCGGGTGAACCATTTAACACAGTTAGTTGTCGAAATCTTATAGTACATGTAAGTCCTAATTTTCATATTAAAGGTTCCAAATTTGTGAGAAGAACTGCTATACAAGAGATTCGGAGCACTTTCTTGACCTGACAACATGTAATTTGATTGACATTTCATAGGGAGCAACCCAAATTTTAATTTCACGTATATTCCAATGTTGTACGGCCTAACCGGCCGCCTCTCAGGTCAGACCAGATAAGAAATTTCACAAGATAAATAGTTTAACATTTAAATTATCTTAAAAGTAGATTGAAATTTTGGAGTAAAGAACCACGTGGTGTTCCAAATAAAATCTCAGGTGGACTCTTGATCTGAGCCATTTGCCAAAATGAATTCGATCGTATTCCTCGCTGCCTTGGCTATCGTTTTTGTACAGGTAAGCCGGTATTGTAGTTTTAGATATAAGTATATTAGTTTTGTAATACATTAACAATGCCTTTAACAGTTACACACATTTTAAAGTATATTAGCACTCAAACATAAAAAGATAAAAATGCATTTTCATTATTTTTTTTTTATTTTAGGTGTTTTTTTTTGTTTTTTAATTTTTTTTAAATGAAATGAATTGGAAAAGGAGATAACATAAAACAATTAAATTTTGACATTTAAACACTTTGCATCACACTCAGTTTACTTAAAATTCCGGTAGTTTTCACTTTGGTAATATTTCATGGATATTTATGACTATATATATAAGAGATAACTCCAATGCACAATAGGCTAGCTCGTATTGACTTTTTTCAAGGAAAATTGCATTTACGTTTAGTGTACCGCTTTATCATCATGTACATCCATATCTGATAAAAGTTAATAAATTAAAAACAAAAATATATACAAATGCAATTTTCGATGGATTTAAAATAAAGAATATCATGTACAAATTATGTTTCCTTATCTTAGGCCCTGTAGCCCTGTACGTGGACTATTTTATTATATTTTTCTTCCGTACTGTTCAACAGTTTGACAAAATAACAATGCAAGATACGATGAGCACTTAAGCTACTGTAATTTACAGACAAACATTATCATATTCAGTATTTTATCATGCTCGCAAAATACCAAAAGATGCAATGAATTTTGATGATAATTTATGTCTCGATTAGGGTAAAATATTGAGAAAATACGGATTCATGTAGTAAATAGAAATTTCAAACCGCATTAGTTTTGTTGTTCTTATAAAAGATAAAACACTTAACGTGTTTTCTGTTGTATCTGATTAGTAAAATGCCATATTACTTATTAAAATAACCACCAACTTTAATTCTACAATTTTCTTATATTGTAGAAGTCAGAAAGTGCTATCAAAACATGGCCTAATGGAGTTGTTCCAGTTGCCTTTGATGATAGTGTCGGTAAGTATATACTTTGATTCTATTTTTCGTATTCATGTTTTGGTATGTTCTTGCTGGAATGGTAAAGGCCTATTGCTAGTGATTAAAGCGTTTCGGAAGCATTTAAGGGGTTGACAATTAACTTTTAAATCAGTCGTGCTTTTATAATAGCGAGGTTCATTAATGCCTTTAAAGCACTTTTGTGAAACAGATATAAAATAATCTGTGTAACATAGAAGCTTAGATTTTCATTAATGAAAATGATTTAAACAAACGAACAAGACATTTTGAAGAGTTATGTCCCTTATCCAAGTCTACTCCTTAATATCGCAAATAATAAAATTTTATGACGTTTTTATATGAAGAAAACTCTTGAAATAAAATAAACTTTACTTGCTTTATCTTGCCAAGGAATCTGCTGATTAATAAAATCCTTGTTTTAAATACACATTGAGATCTGCAATAAATGATAATAATACAAATATATATGCATTTTAGATGGCTTCGCCAAGGAAAAACTGTTGGCATCAATGAACGAAATCCAGATTAGTACCGACAACTGCATCCAGTTCGTGCCACGGGAAGCTGAGACCGACTATGTTGAATTTTCCACAGTTAACGGGTTAGTATTTTTTCTTGAGAACAAACTTGAATATAATCTATAAATCATACTAAAATATAAATGGCTAAATGTTAATTTAAGATAAAGGTTATTAATGTAAATATTGTCTTTTATAAAAACCTTCGCAAAGTAATGTGTGCGTCGAATACTAATATGCGAGGAGGCATTTTTTTAATGTTTGTAACTACTGCTTAATATGTTTTATTTGTTTTTGCAGACTGACTGAAATCCCAGTCCCCGGTGTGAACAGTGGAAAGCAATTTGTTAAAATTGCAGATAATCTGGAAAAAGCCGATATGATGCAGCTTTTAGTTTACAGCTTAGGAATGTACAACACATTCAGAAGACCCGACAGAGACAGCTTTGTGAATGTGATGTACGACAACATTAAGGACGGTAGGTGTACTCGATTCCCATTTTTTTAAATCGTCTAGCATTAATAAAGAACTGCATTCTGAAATATTTGCAAGCAGATTGAAACTTCACTGAGCATACATGTCGGTTGTTGTCTCTTTGACACATTCCCCATTTCCATTCTCAATTTTATGTAGCTATTTTTTCTAGTGAAGAATGATCAAGAATGGTCTTTCATTAATTATATATTTCCTTCGTTTTATTCTATTATTTTTTAAAGTAAATATAGATGAATATATGATTACGCGTGATGTTTACTTGCAACGTATATGTAAATGATATATGTTATAATCATACTCCCATAAAAATGTTTTTGCCGTTACATGCTTACAAAATTTCAACTAAGCTCGATGAAAATATCGGTTTTATAAGCAAAGATTGTATTATTTCTAATAAAAAAAAAAACTACATGTGAATATCAAGTACGATTTTTTATTTCAGAATATCAACAATACTTTGCTATTTCCAACGACTCAACATTCGTCCAGTCACGATTCGATTTCGATTCAATCACCTTCTTCTATCCATATGCCTACGCTAAGGATGCATCAAAACCAACATTGACTGCCAAATATGAAGGTGAAGCAATCCCATGGAAAGTGTCTCTCTCCATCAGTGACGTACACAATCTAAAACGAGGCTACGGATGTGGTGGAGGTAAGAATATGATGATGTTTCCCCGTTTACCATATATAAATAAAGTAAAGTAAACGACTGAATGTGAAAACACTGTCTGGAAAACTACTAGATATATTTTTGTTTTTTCTGTGGTTTTTTTTGGTAGTTGTCTCATTGACATAAATGTATACCTCCCCTCCCCCTAATTACAAACAGCAAGCCACAAAATTCTTAATATTGATAAAAAAAAGTAAATAAAGAGATGTGGTTCAATGTCTAACAAAAAGAACTGTCAACCAGAATCCAAAGGACGATGTTGTAGATATCAATACGTCATTATGGCCTTCAACAATGAGCAAACCCCATACCATATACATGTATATATGGTAAACAGAGAACCAACGGGCTGATTTAAGTTCTTTCCCATCTAATCAGATTAAGGTCTGCAAAGTGGTTAATGTTGACGCAGACAGACAAATCACGAAAATGTACCCTTGCGTAAGAATTTGATCATAAATGAAGATCAGAATTAAGGACAGAAAAAAACGCGAAAATAAAAGCTTCACGAACGCCGTGTTTTCGGTTGAATTAACAAAATTGCAACTCTGTAAAAATAAGAAGAAAAAAAAACTAAAAAAAACCCAAAAAAACGCACACACACAAACAAAAATCCCTTTAAATATTATGATGTAGTACTTAATCTATTATGCTTGAATATTTCAGAGACAAATAACAGAATGGATCTCCTTAAAGGTAAGTTTGTATAATATATACGTTGTTTTCAATTTAGACTTGTTATATCTATATATAGCTACAATTTAAGGATTGACAAGCTTTATAGATCATCCTTCAATCTAAAAACTAACTGTGATTTTTTTTCACGTGAATTAATATGAAATCACGTTTCTGTACCTTTATTGCATCAGTAGAGAAGAACAGCATCTTATTTTGTAGTATTTAACAAGCTTACTTCAACCCCTTTTTTGACATTGTATTACTTATCTTACTGACCCAGTCTAGTTTTATTAAAGGCAACACTCTATATTTTTATATCTTCAGGACTTAGTCACTGCAACTTTGAGGATGACCTCTGCACCTACCAGAATGACCCAACAGCAGACTTTGAATTCCAGAGAAGGAGAGGACCAACACCAACATCTATGACTGGTCCAAATGCAGATTATAGCAGTGGAATAGGTAATGCAAATAGAATAACTAACTGATGTCAGTCACATACCAAAAGTCTAGTAACAGATCTACAAACACCGAGCGAAACCAGTGAAACTAGGTGGACTGTATCTAATGCGGTCTTTCGTTAAATGTTTTTTTATCTTTTTGTTTAGAGTGGGATGGAGTGATGGGTTTGGGGGGGAGGGTTTGCTTAATCCCCCAAAGGAAGTTTATTATCGGATGTACGAGATGAATAGATTAGAAGACCAATCCTGTATGAGAGAGCCGAAGGATACTAAAGGGACGTTCAAACTCATAAGCTTAAAATCAACTGACAAACGCCATGGCTAAGAAAGAAAAAGACAAACAACAGTACATCAAACACAACATAGAAAACCAAAGACTGAGAAACAGGAAACCCACCAAAAACTGGGGGTGATCTCAGGTGTATGAATGTGGAACGTAAAATCGATTTCCTCGAGTAGGCAAAGTGACACTCTTTAAGTACGTTTACGAAATCTGATGATTTGTTTATGTATCTGTATGCGACCAGTTACAATGAAAAATGTATGCCCTTATCCAATACAACTTCTTTATCAAATGGCAGTTTTAATTTCATGCCCTTCGACCACTTTGCAGGACATATCTTTTTGATTTCATGTTATTTTTTTACGTCTTGAATATTCATGACATATTTGTAACTGGACGTTCAGAAATCACCGACCAAATAATTATGATTTCAACTGAATGTCTATATTTCTTTTTACAGGATACTATTTGTTGGCTGAAGCCAGAACTAATAATATGGAAAATGCAAGATTACTGAGCCAAACAATTTCTGCTGGCGAATACTGTGTACGATTTTATTATCATATGTTTGGTGATAATGTACGTAAACTAAGAATAATGGCCCGTAACAACGGCAACGATGTTTTGTTGGAAGAAATGGAAGGAAACCAAGGCAACGAATGGCACAGATACACAAATGCTTTCACATTTAATCAACCAACAGTCGTATGTATTTATTTGCTTTTGTAACTTACCCCTGACAAGCGTCGCTGTGTTATGTTAATTTGCTACAGTTGAAAACCAACATATAATGTCCGCAGAGTATAGTTCTCCATCGACACAACCTAATGAAAATCTATAAAAATGGAGATTCGGTATTTACGATTGCTATTGACACAAGCACCTAACTTTGACTAAATTACGTACATTTTTGAGATGTCAGCAACTAAAGGTCGCCGTACGGCCATCAACAATGAGCAACTACCATACCACAAAGCTGGCTATGAAAGGTTCCGACTTAACAAAATTTAAAACAATTCAAACGAGAAAAGTTTCCTTTACCACACAAACACTGAGATTTTAAATCAGCCAACAAATCTATGAACAGTTCATTATATGTACGAATACAAATTTACCTTAAATTAACAAAGAAGCAGTTTACTAAAACTTTGTAATTGTATTTACTGATAGTATTACTGTATGTAAGCAAGGTTTTGCTGGAGTGAATTCAATGCAATAAAAAATGTATGTCTCATAAAAATTGTGTTTCATATAAAAATAAGATGATGTGGTATGATTGCCAATGAGACAACTCTCCACCACAGACCAAATGACTAGTCGTTAACAACTATAAGTCACAGTACGGCTGTCAACAATGATCAAAACACATACCGCATAGCACTGCAATATCCCCGTGCTATGTTATAGGAGTCTATATATAGATACATGCGTTAACCACAAATCAAACTTGCAAAAATATCAAAACAACAAACCTAATGAAGAATATAATACATATTCTTTTTTTTTTTGCAGTTGGTTCTCGAAGCTATTGTTGGACGATCAGACACCGGTGATATAGCTATTGATGATATTTATATATACAACGGAAAATGTATTGTGTAAACAGTTGTCGTTATTTATGTACATAGATGTCGCTTTCATCAGTAACTTCCTGTTAGTTCCGAATTCATGATCAACAGACTGGATGAAATACACTAACATTGTATGATGTGTGTACATTTGTACAGTTTTCGAGGGAATAATCTGTTATTATAAATGTACGAATAGTTTTTACATTAAAAATGTTGTGTATTCCGTTGTTTCATTTTGTCGTATCCAACTCAAATTATCTATAAGTATTATATTGACTGACAAAATATATTTGTAAAGACTGCAAGCACTATATGAGCTACTCCATGCTAAAAGGTACAAAAAGTGTTTTTGATAAATTTTTCAGGACACGTTGTTAAAGTTCGTTAAAATATTTTTGAAAAACGATTTATCCGTAAAAAATGGTATTAATGTAAACATTCATTAAATCGTCAATTTTGTCCCGAAGTTGTCAGTTAAAACCGAAAAAGACGTAGTATATCTGAGTTTGTTTTGTGCTTGGGCAAGTGTAAGAATCATTTGTTACCCGGAATAATGATATACTGAGCCGAAATAAAACCGTGTATGACACTCTATGGAGAGAAAAAGTAAACAGTTTATCTATCTTTGCCTTAAGAAAGGAACACAGCATTTAAACGTACAGGAAAATGCAAAAATAATGTGTTTTTGAAATTGATATTTAAGTTAAGTTAAGTTAAGTTATAAATATAAAATAAATCAACCGTCCTTGGACGGGATTCGAACCGTTGGCCCTATTAAATTGCATTGATTTCTGCTTTGTGAGCGAGAGCCCTGTCCCCAGTGCTACCCGAGTGAACAGAATTAAGAGGCAAGTTAAGACACTGAAACTTAACATAGAAAAATGCATAAAAAAAGTAAATAACTGAGCAAAATCTAAAAAAACAAGGGAGGCGGTGTGTGGTTTTGGGGAAAAGGGGGAAGGGGGAGGGGGTTGTAAGGACTGAAAAATGTGTATAGCTTACAGCTTAATCGTACGAGGAAAAGATCACAAGTCTGCTAGAAATAGTTATGCACACTTTTTACAATTTCGCATTTTTCGTGTTTGTACCTTTTTGCATAGACTGGCTCATATGTCTATAAACATTTTGCAAAAAAAAATGTAGATGATAGATACCTAAACTTATTGTACACACATATTCTCCACTTAAAAAACGAAACACAATTAAAGTCGAACGCAGAATCATGAAATCCCTACTATATCTTCTGTTGATGCCAGAGTGTTTTCGTAAAAAGTTAGAAAAAGAATCTTTGTGTAAGGGATGGATTGCTCACAAACCATTGAACTCAACCACACACTGTCCAAATTCAGGAGCCTGTACTTCTAGTGGTTTTCGTTGGTTGCTGTCTGACATATTTGTTTTTATGCCCCCTTTGCTAGGCTAAGGAGCATTAAGTGTTGACCATCCGTGCTTCTGTTCGTCCCAAAAAGTATTTTCACATATAATAAGCAAGCTTGAGCCGGGACATTCGTATCCTCAGACACATTCTTCTTTTACTTGATATTGTTTTTATCATAAATCAGGACGATGTTTTTTCTCTTTGGTAGTGTTTCAATTTTTGTCACACCGGAGTCTTTTGTTGGATTTTTTTTCCATGTTTTAAGACCATACGATGACATGCAAAAGTTTACACCATCGGTCTCTGGACTCTGATGAAAAGTTGTCTCATTTACAATATCCCATCTACTCATTTTTATAACTTTGGGAAAAAATATCTGGAAAAATCCAAGCAGCTAAGAAAATTAATATCTGCTTCTGCCCGAAAGAATTATAAAATTGAGAATGGAAATGGGGAATGTGTCAAAGAGACAACAACCCGACCATAGAACAGCCAACAGCAGATGGTCACCAACAGGTCTTCAATGCAGCGAGAAATTCCCGCAACCGGAGGCGTCCTTCAGCTGGCCCCTCAACAAATATATATACTAGTTCAGTGATAATGAACGCCATACTAAACTCCAAATTGTACACAAGAAACTAAAATTAAAAATAATACAAGACTGACAAAGGCTAGAGGCTCCTGACTTGGGACAGGCGCAAAAATGCGGCGGGTTAAACATGTTTATGAGATCTCAACCATCCCCCTATACCTCTAGCCAATGTAGAAAAGTAAACGCATAACAATACGCACATTAACATTCAGTTCAAGAGAAGTCCGAGTCTGATGTCAGAAGATGTAACCAAAGAAAATAAACAAAATGACAATAATACATAAATAACAACAGACTACTAGCAGTTAACTGACATGCCAGCTCCAGACCAATTAAACTGATTGAAAGATTATGTCTTCATCATATGAATATCAGGCACAATCCTTCCCGTTAGGGGTTTAGTATCATACCATCATAACATATATGAGAAGAACGTAACCCGTGTCATGCCAACAACTGGTTTTTAAATAAATGTGTTTAGTGCCGATGCAAAGACCCTATAAGTGAATCAATATTAACGCCAAAATATGCAATCTTTAATGACCTGACAACAGTATCGTAACTATATCCCTTCTTAATAAGTCTATTTAAAGGTTTTGTTAGCTTCAGAGGTGAATACTGACATTTTTGTGTTTTATAAAGAATATTTCCATAAAAAATTGGATGTGAAATACCTGAACGTATAAGAAGTCTGCATGTTGAGCTATATTTACGAATGATGTCCTTATACCGATGATAAAATTTAGTAAATGTTTTGACTAGTTTGTGATATCGAAAACCCTGGTGTAATAATTTTTCAGTAATACATAAATTTCTCTCGTTAAAATCTAAAACATTGTTACATACACGAGCGAATCGTACAAGTTGGGATATATAAACACCGTAAGATGGTGACAAGGGAACGTCACCATCTAAAAATGGATAATTAACGATAGGAAATGAAAAATCATCTCTTTTATCGTATATTTTAGTATTAAGCTTTCCGTTAATGATATAGATATCAAGATCGAGGAAAGGGCAGTGGTCATTGTTAGTATTAGCTTTATTTAAAGTAAGTTCAACAGGATAAATTTCTTTAGTATACATACTGAAGTCGTCATTATTGAGAGCCAAAATATCATCCAAATATCTAAAAGTATTATTAAATTTGTGTATCAGATGTTGTTTCGATGGGTCTTTGCTGATTTTTGTCATAAATTGTAACTCATAGCAATACAAAAAAAGGTCCGCAATAAGTGGTGCACAGTTATATTAGTCCCCATTGGAATTCCGATAACCTGACGATATACGGAATCTCCAAAGCGAACAAAAATGTTATCTAGTAAAAATTCAAGGGCATATATAGTATCAAAGCATGTCCAATTGACATAGTTTTTTTGTTTATTGCTACTAAAAAATGACCTAAAAGAGTTTGAACATATATATTCACATTCTGACTTTTTAAATGCCCATTTAATTAGGTGTGTGAATTTTTTCTTAATGAGAATGTGAGGCAATGTGGTATATAGGGTAGAAAAATCAAAACTTTGAACAGATTCAAAATCACCAATATATGCATGCAATTTATCAAGTACTTCCAACGAGTTCTTGACACTCCAAAAGTAATTAATTCCACTATTTTCGAAGGCCTTATTTGAACAATTTATTATCAGGTTTTTGATTGTACCAAGTGTACTGGTAAGAAGAATAGACAATTTAGTAGTGGAACAATGGCTTGAAGACGAAATGAATCTATATTTGTAAGGTGTTTTGTGTAGCTTCGGAAGCCAATACATAGTTGGGACTTTCATCGTATTTGGTTTTGCTTGTAAAGCGGTAGCTAAAAGTTTATGTTTGTTACAGATGTCGTTTTCTGAAAATGGAGTCAGTTGGAATGTTGGTGAATTGGTGATTTCTTTTTTCAGAACCTCAATGTAAAATTTACGTCAAACAATAATAATATTATTAGCAGCTTTATCGGCCGGGACAAAAACAAATTCCTTGGCTAGTTCTTTTAGTTTATGTTTGATACGAGAAAGAGGTTTATTGTGGTTATTGTTAAGAGTAAAATGTTCTTTAAAATGTTGAATACGTATATCAACTATGTTCATTACTGATTTAAAAAAAGAGTCCAAAGATTTTTTGTCAGCTTTTTCCCGTTTTATCCATTTCAAACAGTAAGTATGGAGTGAGTTGTGGATGATATTACGACACTCATTCCAATTAATAATTGACGGGGGACGATATTTAGGTCCTTTACTGGGGAATGATTTTAACTCTCGGTCTTGAACGATGTTAAGATCTCCTGTTATAACATGGGAAATGGGTCCATTACTTCATTTTACAGGAATTAAGCAGAAATTGAGGCATCTACGGCATGTGTATGAAAGGAAAAATATGCATGTTTCGTTATCTGCACTACCGACACAAAAACGAAGAATCTTGTAGCGTCAAATAAATTAACTGTTCTCAATAATGTTCGCCACATACTTTCAAAATAGCAGACTTTAATGAATATTTTTTTTTCTTCTCCGACAGATACCGTATTATACATTTAAGCATGGAAATATAACATTTACTGAACTGGTATATTTTTTAAAAAGTCAATGCCCTAGAGTGGTTGTCCTGTCTTGTTTTGAGAAAATCTCTATAAACGTGCCACATTGAAACAATAAGTGATTTGGAAACATAGAATATTTTTGTGTGCTACTTTATGAGATACAAGCTTTTAACAGTTTGATTTGATGACTTTGGCAAGACTAGTACTATTGGATTTAAAAAAGAAATGAGGAAGGGCCGTTTTTCACATTGGGTCATTCAAAAAAAAATCTTTCAATCTTTACTTACACTCCTAGTATTACAGCACACGGCTCTAGCGATATTGTGGAATATTAATCAAAAGATCAGTGAATTAAAAACTCCTGAAGACATACGAAAACCGTATTTTCACAGATTTTGACCAATAAAGAGCATTTATGAAAAAAAATGAACGACACCGTTAACCGAAAGTAAATTAATGATATTTATAATTGTCTTTCGGATACAAGTTCGTTCATTTGGTAAGCGACGTCCTTCGATGCAACATTTTACAAAAGCGTGTAAAATTTTCAAATATGTTTCAAAATGCCTTCAGCAGCATTATGTAGCGCTGAATACTATTATATAGATTTAAAAGAAATATGTAAAATCGTTATTTTAAGTATATGATTTTTCAACTCTTTTATATCCAATTTTCAGTAGGGTTTAGCAAACTTTTATACTGACCCTATGAATGAAACGCATACAGGGGAAATTGATCCTACCCTATTGACTTTAACTCCATGCCAGAATCTCATGATTGATTTTTGAAGTACAACGCTGTAAATGTAGGGCTGTAGATATACAGTCGAACACTGAAGATGTAAACTCCAGCGCTGCAAATATATTATAGCAATGTAAAGTCTAGCGCTGGAGATATGAAGTCAAGCGCTGTAGATTTAAAGTCAAGCGCTGTAGATACAAAGACCACTTTAAATCCCAAGGATATGGGAGAATTGAGGGCTTACAATTGTATATGTACAATGTAGTCCGTCATTATTGTTTTTCATATTCGAAGTATTACAAATAAGGCCGCTTTTTCACATTTTGCCATCCCTTGGCTTTCTATAATAGCTTACTATGCGGTATGAAATTTTTATGAAACTCTCCAACACAGACCAAATGACTAGACGTTAACAACTATAAGTCACAGTACGGCTGTCAACAATGATCAAAACACATACCGCATAGCATTGCAATATCCCTGTGCTATTTTATGGGAGTCTATATATAGATACATGCGTTAACCACAAATCAAACTTGCAAAAATATCAAAACAACAAACCTAATGAAGAAAATAATACATAATCTTTTTTTTTGCAGTTGGTTCTCGAAGCTATTGTTGGACGATCAGACACCGGTGATATAGCTATTGATGATATTTATATATACAACGGAAAATGTATTGTGTAAACAGTTGTCGTTATTTATGTACATAGATGTCGCTTTCATCAGTAACTTCCTGTTAGTTCCGAATTCATGATCAACAGACTGGATGAAATAAACTAACATTGTATGATGTGTGTACATTTGTACAGTTTGCGAGGGAATAATCTGTTATTATAAATGTACGAATAGTTTTTACATTAAAAATGTTGTGTATTTCGTTGTTTTATTTTGTGTCTTTTTGGTTTATTCAACTCAAATTATCTATAAGTTTTATATTGACTAACAAAATATATTTGTAAAGACTGAAAGCACTATATGTCTTTGAACATATAGTACTATTTTTAGTGCTACAAAAATGGTATTTGGTAAATACCTGAACTTATTGCACAGCAATAGTCTCCACTTAAAAAAAATGAAACACAAGTCGAACGCAGAAACAGAAAGTCGCTACTATCTCTTCTATTGTTGTCCGTTAAAAGTTGAAAAAAAAGAACCTCTGTGTAAGGGGTTGATTTCTCACAAACCATTGAACCCAACCACACACTGTCCATGCCTGTCCAAATTCATGAGCCTGTAATTTTAGTGGTTTTCGTAGGTTGCTGTCTGACATATTTGTTTTTGTTTATTTTTATCATAAATCAGGACGATGTTTTTTTCCCTTTGCCACGCCGGAGTTTTTATAGTAGGAATTATGCATTTTTTAAGACCGTACGATGACATGTAAAAGTTTACACCATTGGTGTTTGGACTCTGATGAATAGATGTCTCATTGGCCATAACATCACATCTTCTAATTTCATAACTTTGGGGACAAAATATCTGAACAAACTCCATGCAGCTTAGAAAATTAACAACTGCTACTGCCCGAGAGAATATTTTATTTTACAGAAACAAGTGGAAAACAGAAACCTCTATGGATATATAAAAATGCATTGTGTTATATGCACTTCCGACGGTATTTTGGCGTTGTATTGAATGTTTACTACAGACTTTCAAAATAACAGAATTTCATCAATATTTTTTTTTATCTCCAGCATATACCGTATAATACATTTCATCATGGAAACATTACATTCTCTGAACTGGTGTATTTCAAAAATTAATGTACATACTGTGTACATGTATGTCCTGGCTAGTTTTGAGAAAATCTCCTCGTTGGGACAAAATGTAATTTGGAAACTTAAACATATTTCTATGTTTGATATCTTATGAGATGGATGGATGGCTGCTTAACGTCCAGCGGCAAATTAATATGTATATTCAGAACGAGAACATGTTAATGAAATATGAATATGTACCCTGCTTTGTACTAACCCGACACGTTCAGTCGGATTTTTAACGTGCTTGTTCACAAGATAACAGTCCGCAGGATATTTAAAGTTTGATTTTATGACTTTTGCCGGACTTTTGAAATTTCTTTTTATATTAGAAATGTTAGATGATGGGTCAATTTTCATATCGAGTCATTATCAAGAAATTTTTCAATCTAAACTTACATTCATAATATACAGGACCGCCTCGGTGGTCGCATGGTAGCGTGTTTGCATCGAGTGCGGGCGGTCGTGGGTTCGAACCACGGCCGGGTCAAACCAAACATTTTAAATTGGTATTTGCTGCTTCTCCGCTAAGCACGCGGCATGAAGAGGTAAGAGCAAAAACTGGTCGGCTTGGAGTCCAAATAATGTGTCCGGGTAAGGTGACATGTCTTCCTGCGGACTGTTACCTTGTGAACTACAAATGTAGCACGTTAAAATCCGGCTCAGAGTGTCGGTCTAGTACAAAGCAGGGTAAATATTCATATTACATTAACATGTTCTCGTTTTGAATATGCATATTAATTTGCCGCTGGACGTTAAGCAGCGAATCATCATTATCATCATCATCATCATCATCATCACCATCATCATCATCATAATGTCACAGCGCAATGTGTGTACTTTAGGGTTCTTGCAATATAATGACATTTTTATTCACAGATTCGTAAATTAAAAACGTCCGATGACTTCGAATCGCAATTTTCACAGATTTTGATAAATTTGGAGCATTTATCCAAAAAAGAACGAGGACATCGTTAACCGAAACAAACATTATGAAGGAAGTAAATTAAAGCTTTGTATTGTTCTTTTAGTGATATAAACGTACTAGCGGATCTTAACACCAGAGCCAACTGAATTATGCAACATATTTTAAATGTATGGTAGTAAATGACAACTTTTATCATAAAGTGATACAAGCACCACTATGTGTTTACCATATAAATGTAATATCTTACGCTGTATCAATATGGATACATTATTTGTATAAGATAGTGTTTAACTTTGTATAATCTATAGGGCATGCTGCAGTACCAGAAACCGTTTCAACATGTTTTTTGTATGACTGTAAAGTTATACATTCATAATCAAACGGTCAGATTGGATTAACAGATATTGTTTTCCCCTAGGTTTCTCCAATTCGGCAAAAGGGGTTGTTCATTTTGACTTTGCATGTTGTTTAAATACGTAGCCTGTTCTAATATGTATGGAAACATTTAATTTGATTGATTGGTTGGCGTTTGCTGTGTTAACGCCACTTTCGGCACTATTGGCTTTTTTGTGGGGGGCTAGTTTTAATTGGTCGAGGAAGCCAGAATGCCCGGAAAGAACTTCCGACCTCCGGTAAGAAACCGGGAATCCTATTTAATTAAGATTGGAGTCGAACGGATCTGCCACGTGCGAGGCTTACTGTTGTAAGGCACAAATTATCTGTCCCTTTCAATAGACGTATTTACACTTGTATGCAAATTTGTCCGCCATTACGTAAAATCACACAATGTCTTTATGGATACTTGTCTTGTTGTCATCATACTACATCTCCTTATTTGTATTATTAATTTGAGAACGCTTTATTGAAATGTAAATAATGAATTTTTATTTTTCGTTATAGTAATAGTAAAAATCAGTCCGATGTTTTTCTATTTCGAAATGTTTAACCTTTTTTCATGTCTGGGTCTTTTATAGCTTACTATGCGGTATATGTTTTGCTCGATGAGCTGTTATTCTTATCCCGTTGTCTTTGTGGATGATGTTGTCTCATTGTCATCATACCACATCACATTATTTTCAATATTACTTTGAGAACGTGTCATTGAGTTTAAAAAATAAATCTTTATTAATTGATAACTGTATTTGTTCATATTTCTGTAATCCTTTTGATTACATTACATCTGTTGAAATTACAATTGTTAGAAACTTAATTCTTTAATCTTTTGTTTGGGCAGCAGAGGCCATCGTCTCTTGATTCAGAGGACGTGCAACTGTCACATGGTATTTGTATAGCTGGGTCCGTCACTGGACACACTTGTGGAATGTTACACTCCAATTCTTAAAAAAATTATTGCAGAATCATATACAGTACAGTGATATTTGATACTCCGATATACCATGAAATTGACGATAATGTCTATCAATAAAATAATGATTCATATAATATAACCTATTGACTAGAAAGATTAGGGGAGGGTTTGGCGCCGCAAGCATGTTAAACTGTTTAAATCGCCACTTTTGCATATGCCTGTCTGCCGGAGCTTTTAATTCATAGGCTGTCGTTTGTTGCTGTATATCATATTTGTTTTTCGTTTATTGTTTTGTTCATAAGTCAGGCGGTTAGTTTTCTCCTTCGAATTGTTAAAGATTTATCATTTCAGGGCCTTTTATAGCTTACTATGTGGTATGGGTTTTGCTCATTGTTGAAGGCCGTACGGTGACCTATAGATGTTGATTTCTACATCATTTGGCCTCTGGTGGAGAGTTTCTCATTGCAATCATACCACATCTTCTTATTTGTATAATGTATCAATCTTACCCCCAATTTAATGTGACAACTCGGACATTCGCTCTCACATATATATTCACTCGAAATTAGCATAACATACTTTTAATTGAACAGTGGACTGAAAATTGGATTAGCGACTTACTATACTTCTTATTGACATAATTGTGCATTTTATATTTTACACGATTGTTCAACTTAGCCAGAATGTATGAGGGTTTTGAGGGGTTTTCGTTACTGTATATTCTATAAATTGGAAGGAATTTTCGCCATTCTTTATTGTTTGGCCATTATTCTGTATTCTGTATAGTATTGGTCCATTATAAGTTCTCTTTTCTTTTTATTATCGACACACTCTTGTTGAATAGAAAGTTGTTTCTCAACGCACATACTAAACTTTAAAATGAGTGAGGAACACATGGAATTTTGTTTTACTTTAATTTGTATGTGTTTAGTCAGAAAGACATAGGAAAGTGTTTCGTTTACATTCCACCCATTATCACTTTCCACGCCTCCATAATTGACTCTAAGAATGTTCATAACAGTCAAAGTGAAAGTCTTATCTAAAGTCGATAATAACATAACTTAGAAGAGCTTTTGAATCTATTATATAAAAAAAATACATTACATTTGCAATTAAGACAAAGGGTACACATAACAAAAGGACAATATACGCACATACAAAACATGAGATACAACACATGCATAGTATAAAAATACAAAAAAAAAATACACATAAATACATAAGCAGAGCAAGCACCATGCTGTCGCAAAATTAAAGCATAACAATCAAACATGTTAACTAAGCGATACAACTTAGTGTTGTAAGTAAATCTGGATATCAACATGAAATTACAAAATTCAACAAAACTTTGTCTTTATTTAAAAAGCAAAGAAAGATCTTAAGTCAACCAAAAGTACTTACTTGGAGTTACGACTGCAATACACAAGTCATTATTAATTATGAATGATATATATGTTCACAAATAACGAAAAAGATATATGAGGGTCTGAATGGGGGCACATCATTTCTGTGTTCTCTAATTTTTCTGACCATTTTTTCCTCTATTTTTTATTCATTCTGTCCATTATTCTCTATTCTTTATATCTATGCACCACATAAATTACGTATCTATTCTTTTTTTTTGTCAATTTTCCTCTTTTCTTTTTTTCTTTTTGTCCGTTATTCTCTATTCCCATAATTATTCTCTATTATGTTATCCCCATACAGATCCTGAAATATCTCAGTAATAGGCAAAATTATATATATCCGATATATAGATATAAGAAGATGTGGTATGAGTGCCAATGAGACAACTCTCCATCCAAGTCACAATTTATAAAAGTAAACCATTATAGGTCAAAAGTACGGCCTTCAACACGGAGCCTTTGCTCACACCGAA